TGAGTTAGGTAACAGGCTGGAACAAACATCTTGCACACAACATCCTTCCAATCCTAACAAGCAGCTTTTGACTCCTCATTTTTTTCTCGTTTCTCTTCTTTCTGTCACCAGCAAGGCCTTTGTCCACTTCTAATCAGGTTGGTATTATTTGAAATGTAATGGATATCCGTGCGCCTGCATCCTTTCCAATTGACGACTAGTCAAAGCGTGGTTTCAGCAGACAAGTCAATCCCACCATTTATTTCCCTACGATGACCAAGGCATTTCTAGTATTAGTCGCCAGCAACACCAAATTAAGCGTTCTTATCTCTACACATGCATGGCCATGATCGAGCCTTTTCTGCGAATTGCTGCGGTTACACCGTCTTCGCCGATCCTGGCACTAACAACCACAGTTACTCTCCACCACTAAGTTATCATTTTGTTCCAAAGTAAATAACCACAAAACCACAACAGACCTCTTAAGAGCTAAGAAGACTTCCTGTAGCTGCACCAACCGAGCTGTGTAGGGGGTTCTGTAGGGAGCGTTCTTGACGCCTCGGAAAAGTGTAATTCTACGTGCTACCGGTGTGCCGCCCTACTATTATATTTATCCCCGCATCGCACGAGAAGTTCGGTGCAAAGTACTCAGCATTTCACTATTTTGAAATTCTTATCATCCTGAAGGAGATGGCAAATTCTCACCGGGGACACACCCTTCACAGGCGACGTTGACTACAACTTGAGCAATTCAGTTTGCAGTCCCAGTGGAGCACAGTTGCAGATCGCATAATTCTATAGGTCCTGCAACATCCCCAATAATTCTTCGTCTTGCTCATATCTTCGTTTCAGTGAGATTACCTTTGAATTGGCTGTTGTGCAAAAGATTCGACTCCCTACCTTCAAGAGCTCATCAACGATCACGAGGCTGCAAGATTAGGGCTTACTGGAAACTCAGAAAAACGCAGAGCTGTTTGACGTTCTTGCGTACTGAATGCTGTCAGCTGCTCTCTAGCACGAAAATTTACTTCTTCAAGCTGCAGAAATTGTTATTGTGTAGTCCCTACTGAGCTCTAGTGCTTCAGCCTTGATTAATATTTCTTGCCATTCCAACACCACGAACTGGACAACACAAGCCTTTATCTGAGGATATGCTACGTGATTTCATTACCATAGCACTCAATAAATTCATTATAAGAGAAATGTTAGTGTAAGCGCGACAGGTAAGTCAATCAAATGCGCCAGCGGTCGTGGTGAGTTGTGCGACGCCTCACAAAGAACTAGAAAAGCGGGTTCTACTCTTTCAAAGACTATTCAGACAGAAGTAAAAACAGTCCAAGCTCTTTGAAGGAGTCTTTTTTCTTTGTAGTCGCTTGACACGGGGGCGCAGGAACTGGTCAGTTCCTGCTCCCCCGTGTCAAGCGACTCTACGATATGCGACTTGCCCAAGAGACACAGCCGTTGCTTCAAAATCCAAGCACCAAGGGAATTTGACGCCAAAACAGTGTTTGGATGATATTCCAAATGCAGAGCTAGCTAAGTGAGTGATCCTGTGAGCTCTGAGGCCTGTCGTGAGATGTGTAGCACCGTTGAACGTGACCACTCCCGACCAGCCTGTTGCTCGTAAAGCAGACAGCAAAGCAAGAGTAGGACTTCAGACCGCGCCAAGGAAGCAACTTAGGTAGAAGAATGGAAGCTCATTCAGAACAATTGTGTTCATTGACTTTCCTCGGAGTTTGTGTGGGCCAGCTGATATTCCCACTGGCATGATGATACTCACAACAATGTCAGCAGCTAGAGGCTTTTGATGTAAAACGCAACAAATTCTCCTTTGGTGTTTGTTTGAATTTCTCTAACGGTTACATGGCAGTTCCATGCTCGGTGGGTCCCTAGAATAGCGACTAGCACACAGAAGTGCAGAGCTGAAGATAATATTAGCTGTACGTATATTGCAGTTCCAAAAGAAAACAGGAAAATACTCGGTAAGCAGATCCTCAGCTGCCCGGCCGCGCTTTCCTAGTCTTCTTCAAAAGCGCAGTTACCCAGTAAAGGGAGGCAGCGGAAAAAATCTGGAAGCAGAGACATGATTCAACTCGGTTTTTAAAAATGTTCGTGTTTAAGAATTTGTGGGCGCTAAGAATTTGTGGGCGGTACTCTTTGTTGAAGGCGCGGTGGAACCTTCACTTTACTTTTGGCTCCTTGTTCCTGCACTGTTTCACATACTTGGCCTGTCCCCGCGCCCTAAACCCCGCGAGGCTGTCAACTTTCCTATGGTTTCCGCTTTTGCTGTTCTGCTTTCCAGACAAGCTGCCGGCCGTGAACTGACAAATGTACCCTTGTTTGCTGCCAGCATGCGCTGCGGCGTCGGTATCTGTCGTTGCCCCCTTGCAGGCCAATATTCTACTACTTTTGTGGAAAAATTGACTTCTGCATATGCTAAAAGCTTGTTGGTTTCGTGATACATCGTAATGGCTTTCTTCCTTCTGGCCTCCCAGTATTGAACTACACCGTGTACTTGTGTGGCTTACTCCGTAGCTATCTCTTTCGAATTCCCTCTGAATAAACTTCAAAAATATATTAACTTCACAAAGCCCTTTCCATTAAGAGCGAAAAGCTCCTACGTAATCTAAACATGGCAACGTTGTGGTTATTGGGCTGTTTGTTGCCCGAGCCACAACCTGGAGTAGTCTTTCGACGGTCTCAAGTGTTCAGCGCCCGAACACCAATGCGCCCTTGGCACATCTTCTTCTGGGACATGCCCCTCAAGCAGCGGCGAAACATTTTATTAGGCCTGCATTTGTACCATTCAGGCAAAGCAGAGTGAGCACATCGAGTTTTCTCTAAAGGCGCTGTGCATCTCAGAAGTCCCCAGGCTTGTCTGCAAAGAGGTATATATGACGCCAGTATGCGCTTTTAGCGTTGTTTGTTTAATGAAAACCTCAAAAAGCCTCTGTGGGGATCACTTTGAAACGCGAAAAGCCCACTAATACACATATCTTTCAGGCCTGTTCAACAATGGGTAAGTTTTTTTCATCGGCCTTTACCTGTTTTTGCCGCAACGTGGCCCACAGCAGCTCGGATGATTGCAAGTACGAGGCTACAGATAACAATGCCACAGCGATTTGAATATCACCACATTCAGCACAGAGGAAGCTGAGTAGAAGCCACAGCGAGTTTCTTAGGAAGCATTGTTGTAGAACGGCAGAAGAAACTTGTGACGCGTTCAGCAAGGCTGTGCCAAAAAGAAAAACAAGGGTTTCTTTTCACTACCTGATGTGAATGGTCTCAGAAACATTAACTATTCCTTAACTATATTGGAAGCTGTTCGCGCTCAGCTTGGTACGCCGGGGGTTCACGACAGAGATCGCAACTCTATCCTGGACTACGTGAAATGCCCTTATATTCCCTGCACCATGCTAGGCTTCGCTCATGAAGCAATTTCCCGTGAGCAAAGTTTTCCAACCTATTACCTGGCCAACTTACACCTAAGAAACCCGCTGCATGCATATTCTTTTGTGGGGGCCTCCAACAGCTTATTTTTAGCTTCCTTTTCCCCTACAGTGCCAGCATGGCGATGTTAGTTGTGCAGTAGCACCTAACAGTAATGGGTTCCAGTGTATGGCGCCCCTACCATCCTGCACTGTGAACGCCCCTACCATCCTGCACTGTGAACGCTTACCCTGGACTACACGCTAGGGCCGGACTTGTAGTTCATTTATGCCCTCAACAGGCCGTCAATAACTTCCATCTTGCAGGCTGTACTTGGTTAATTTGGCGCGATTAGGCTTTTCGTGGCGCAAAGGGGTTTCATTACTAAAAACACCACCGTGGTCCACTAGTGCATAAACCAGCCCTTGAGCATTCCAAAGTCCGTCAGTTAATTCATTTATCTGCATTGTAATCGTCCTGGGCGCTTAAATCACAAGTGATCTATCCCTATGTAGTTGATCAGAAGTATTACTTTGAAGCCACTTCACCGATGACGTAGACATTTCACGTCCTCAGTACGAAGTTCACAATTTTCGGTGTTTTCCTCCAAACTAAAAAGAAAAAGCTGACGGAAAAACACATATCCGCCATTCACCAGTTTCGAGGCTTTACAAGTTGTGTTGATGGGCACCTTAACTGCTGGGGTCTTTGGGGCTCTCACGAGGCTCCCGTGAGATACCGTAGCTGCGTTCAAGTGCTCTGTGGTTCGCGTCACCAGGGCTTTCTTCTGCTAATACTTTGCCTTGTTGACTCTATTGTTTTATTTTTAGCGGCAGTGGTTGCTGCTACTGCTTGCTTGTTTCTTCTACTGCTGGTATCTACAGCGGCGCCAGCTGGTACAAATTTCAGCTCTTCCCTGCCTCTCAGCGCTCAGCTACTGTTCCTTGATTTTCCCTCTTCCCGCATTTTGATCTTAGGAGTGCATGTAGTCCTACTTATTTCTGCGTATGCAGAGTGTTTTCATGCAATTTAGTGGACACACTGAATATGAGGCTCAGCTCAAGCCACTTGGCTAGCTAGGAGTCTTGCTTGAGTTGCAACGGTTCCACTTCTACCGATGCTCGGGCAAGTTTCTTGAGCGGCTAATGTTTTTGAATAATTTTCTTTTTGTCATATTTTCTTCCTCCTCTCTGACCTTCTACGGGTATTTTATCGGTGGAGAGGCCTAAGTGACCCCATCTGACCCAGCGCTTATATTGCTGCAAGGGTTTGCTGTCCACGGGGCTCGCTTCCAGTGAGAAGGCTTCATTTTTGCAGGGTTGAAGCATCACATGGTCTTTGGGCTTCGTAAAGTACGCGTTATATGGCTGCGGCACTTAGTAGCCACTTCCCCACAAGTCTCCAAGCAGAAGTGAAACCGTGGGCTCTGTCTTCCGAGTTACTGGCCCGAACTTTGGGCCTTTGATAGCTCTTTCCTGGTTCTCCTTTTTGAGCTTCATCGCAAGCAACAAATTAAACCGCCTTGGGGTGTTCCATGCAGTGGATGTACATCGGGGCACACCAGCTCCGCCGCATCTTCGAGCCTCTAGCCCATGTCTGAGGGTTCTTTTGTTTTTCCAGTTAAGAACATCGGGGAAGCAGCCCCAAGTCAAGGTTCTTTCTTTTTTAAACGGCTTGTCCCTTCCTTTGGAGAACAATGGCACCGGCGATGGACGTGGGGAAAGCATGTGCAGCAACAACAGCAAGAAAAAAAGCAGCTCCTGCACGACACTCTCGCCGTGGGAATGCGCAAAGCCAAATCGTCTCAATGTAGTATAAGCACTATGGCTTCTGGAAAGACGGCCACCGGCACCAATGGCAACAGCAACTGTGGCAGTAACGGCACCAGCCTGGACCTCGGTATATCAGGGTCAAAGGTTACCAGTGGTGCCTCTTTCGCAACCAGGAACAGCAGTAGCGGCATCAACAACAGCTCGGTCAGCAGTGGCATTTCAAGCCAGCTGCGACTCGGGTCCTGTCCTGCCCTCATTAGGAGCCGATACTCTTTGCCGTTGACAGAAGCCCCTTTCACCAGCAGCAGCAGCAATCTGTGCCTTCAGCAAACGGCAGCACCAGCTCACGCAACTGTTGCTTGTGAGAAACATTCGGAGCCTTCCGCAGCCTGCTTTCAGTCTCAGCAGGAGAACAAGCAGCCGAGGGAACAGCAGCAGTTGAGAGAGCAGCCGGAACAGCATCAGGCGGAGCAGCAGCAGGAGCAGCACCATCAGGAGCACCTACAGGGGCAGCATCGAGAGAAGTGTATGCAGATCGCGCGGAAACAGGACCAGCTGAGAGAGCATGATAGAGATTACGTCAGCCGCCTGGCACAGCAGCAGCAACAACAAGTGAACAAGCAGCGGCAGCAGCAACACTCTAAAGAGCATCAGCGCATCAAGTGTAAGCAAGAATCAAAAGAAAAACACCAGCAACGCCAGCATGCCGAAAGCCAGGACAGCGTACAGACCCATCCTCCCTCCGGTGCTCTGCCCGTGCATCCTCCTTCTGTAGCTTCAGAACACGAATCACGCCACTTCTCTGTTGCTGCAGCAGCATGCCTTAGTGGCATCGGCTCGAGCAGCAGCAACAGTGGCAGCACCGTTAGTGACAACAAGGACAGGCATACCGTGGATCTGCCGTCTGAAGCTCTTGACGCAGCTGCAGAAGCAATGCGAGGGGTGTCGGAGCAGGTCCGATTGGCCCGACTTCGGCTGCAAGAAGAGCGCCTGAAGCAGCATTATCACACGCAGCAACTCCAGCAGCGGATGAAGCCTCAGCCGAAGCAGCAGCAGCGTCGGCAAGCCGTTGACGTCTTGGCCGTAGGCGGCCCACCACCTCCGCGTAAGACAGACATGCAGTGTTGCTACCAGGGAATAACCCCATGACTTACAGACGGACTAGAGCAAAACGCGGAACTGATGTAGGAAGAAAGGGGATACTTGTGCCGAAAGAGGCAGCTGTTGAAGCTGAGCGGCGGCAGTTTACAGGCTATTTGTAGGATGAATAACATTGCAAGCACTTCTTATCTCACAATGTCGTTTTTGCGGGGTCTCTCAGCGAGTGTAGCTGTTTCATACGTTTCTTTTTCTATTTCAAAATTGCCTTTCTCGCTTTCATATTTTTCAAGAAATTAAATCAAGCAGTAATGGTTGAAGTGTATTTGCTTCACAGGAAGGCATTCGAGGAACTGTCGTCTTGATGAAGGGTCGTACTATACTTTCAAGTCTGCAAGGGTGAGGTATTGTAGGTTTTAGGCCCAGGATTTCGGGGCCGCCCTCTAGACTGTTTACGGTATAGGGTATAACGCTTAGAGTGTTAAGTTAGGTGCTAGGGATTTTGGTTTATTCACAGGTGAATGGAGTCACGGTGGAGCTGAAAAATAGAGAAGAAGTTGCAGCATCGATCCACAGACTTCATTGCGAATACGGAATTCCCGTTTGTAGGGAATTCGGATTTCGGTACGTTTGCTACTTCTCTAGTGGCTTGGCTGCCACAAACAAGGCTGTAGGGCATTTATTAGCATGGCAAAACTGTAGGAACTTGAGCAAGTACGTTTTAGGCTTAATTATCCCTTTTCTAGATTGTGAATGTACGGATGAGGCCCCGGTATCCAAGTTTAGCTTAGGGAAATGCGTTGGGGGAGAGTACGATGAGTCGCTAGAAGCGCTCAGTGGTTGGGGTCTGTTTACTTGCGAGCTCTGTATTTTTGGGACGTTTTTAACCCGTCTCCTCACACGCATGCATCCATGTCTGAAACGATGAGCATAGATGCAGACAGATACAGAGAAAGAGGCAAAATCAAGCGGAGAGCTAATGCAGCAAGCAGCAACAACTGATTGCTTTGTTTCACCTGTGTCGTATCATTTTTGCAGCTATTTCATGCTGGCTGAGCAGCACCCGCTGCACCGGAAAGCAGGTTCAGTTATTCGAAAGCCTTTTAATAACATGTAAGTCCTATCAGGACCCAAGTCTTATCCTCAAAACGTGTTGGCCTGCGTTTCACCACCCATGGGAGTTTTCGCCGTCAGCTTGTGTACATTCAAGCCTTCAATGCTATCACGCAGTTCAGCAGAAGGCTCATGGCTTTTCCTGGAAAACAGCACTTCAAAAAGTAGGAGCGTAGTTACACACAGCACTGGAAGTCTTATACTGCGGAAGGAAGTTAATTTACGCTGACAGATAATGCCAGTGGAGTGCTATGCTGTAATTTTCTCAGCAGAGACCGGCAAGACGCATTGCACCAGCGAGCCGCCTCCAAGAGCGGGCGTTCAGTCCGGCCGGCAACCGCAGCAGCACCAAGTAACAGCGACAGCGGCCAGAAACTTAGTACCAAGTGGTCTTATTCCATACGGATTCGGATACGGCAGCTACAGAGGCCTCAAGAATTATTGCAACTGCCGACGCAGCTCGGGATATTTTTCCACGAATTGGCCCATCTCCGGTATCAACGAAAACACCTGTTCTTGTGATGCACTGTGTTCTGTTCCACATATCCAACGGGTTTTCGTTTCGTTTATGTTTGCTTGTGTTTTGGTATTCTTTCGCCTTCCTGACATCGCTTAGCGTTGCCTATTGTTTCGGCGCTGTTGCTAATGCGGCCGCGCCTCCTGTCGATTTCCCTGTGAACATCACTGCTTACGGCTGCATTTTCTCATTTTCGTTTATATGTATATGCAACGTACACATGTGCCGGTGCTGCTGTTGCCGGTTTGAAGGTTCATGAATCATGGCGTGGGCTTCGCATGTCTACTAGCTCGCATATTTCGCTACGCGACAGAGCGGGGACTCTTTGAGCCGGTAGGTCTTTTGCTTAACTGAACGTATGCCCATAATTTATGTGCACGTAAAGTTTGTCCAAATAAGAAAGCCATGCCCTGAGCCACTCCTGCTAAGCCACCGATACCTAGCAGATTGGTAGTCCTGTTGTCAGCGTTCCCTGTGTTCCTTTTCAGACCTTATGTGCATCCATATTTCCCTGGTTTCTTTCTTTTACTTTGGTACTGGGCTTCTCTTTTGTACTCTGTGACGGCATCTCGTTTGCTGCTTCCTTTCTTGTTGCTTGTGTTGTACTTTGTGATGGCCACTTGTTTGCTGCTTCCTTTCTTGCTGCTGCTGTTTTTCCTGAGGAAAACCGTCTTTTTGTCAGTTCTTGTTCTTGTTTGCGCTTTGCGTATCCGTCGCACTCGACTCATACTGTGAACGTAATGGTGCACGTATGTTTGTCCGTGCTCTTCTGTGAGTACTTGTATCGCGTTGCCTTCTTATCGTCATTTCTCCTTGTCTGGACATCTCTCTGTTACCTTTGCTCGAATGCTTTTATCTTTTTTTCCTTTTGCTTGTCTGCAGGGCTGCGAGTCAGAATTGCCTTCTCCCTGGCTGTGGGAAAGGGTCGTATTCTATTGTGGCGGCTTCGTGTCGGATGCTGTGCTTCGGCAGCTGCTGCTAGCAGATCCAAAGGCTCGCGCTGCTGCAGGCACTGCGTGCGATCTCGAGGCAGCGCCAGCTGCGTCCACTGTTGCCGCTCAGCGACGTCTTCAAGGAGAAGAAGCTGCTGATTCAATGCAGCCAGGTTTCGAGGAAAAACCAACTAGTTGTGCTTATCCTTCAGCAGCTCCTTCTACTCCTTCTTCAGCTGTTGGAGCAGTGCCGGCAGAGGCTGTTGCCAGCTGTGAAAAGACTTCAGAGAAGACACGCAGTAGTCTCATGCTGCATGAGGCTGCACGCATCCAGACGAAGCCCCTGAGAGTGCAACAGCAGCAGCGTCAAAAGCCCAGAAGGCCCTCCTGTAGTGGCACTTTTCAGTTCACCAATCCCCATCCTACTGGATCCACCTACAAGACAGCAGGACGAACTGCTAGCAGTAGCATGATTAATAGCTCTGTCTCAGCTCCCCGGCGGTCAACAGGAAAGCTCAGTACTTGTGCACCGCAGACAGAGCTTTCGCTACAACAGCGAAAGCAACAAAAGCAGCAGCCGCAGGCTACACAAGAGCAGCAGCAGCTGCAACAACAGAGCCTAAAGCGTCGCAGTAGTAGCCAAAGTAGCAATAGCAGCAGTGGTGTGAAACAGTGTGGCAGCCAGTTCTCACAGCAGCGCAAGAGAGAAGCCAGCGTGCGAAGGATTCCTGTCCCTATAAAGCGTGGGTCGCCCCAAGCAGTCGCGCGCTGAACAGTTCCTCCGTTTGCTTGCGCTGAAGCGACGTCTCGCGCAGGAGCAAGATAAATGCAGTAGTTCAGTTTTTTATTCGATTCCCGCGGCGACAAGCCTCTTTGCGTGCTGCCCCGCTGCGGCAGGATTCCCGTCGCTGTGGCGACTCCAATGCAGCAGCTAAGTGTTGTGCGATCGCAGCAAATATGAGTCTCATGCTGCACCATGACAGTTACGAGGGAACTACTGCGGCGAGCGGCAGCCAGGTCCCGCAGTAAGCGTGTGCCGATAGCAGTGAACATTTTGCTAACTGCCGCAGCAACCAAGCGCCGCAGTCAAGCCGATCGCTTTACGACAACGTCGTGCTTTATTCGCATCTTAACTTGTTAAAGGTAGAATAAGCTTTTTGTAGAGCGCGTCCTCGTCGCATATCCACAGAATTTGCATACATCGCTGCCTTTAATAGTCACGGGAGCGCAACCAAGGCTTTAAAGGTCATTAGCAGGAGGAAAGCAGAACTTCGTCTGTCTTTGAGCATTGCACTGCAGAAAGCCGTGAGAAGGAACCTTCAGCGGCAGAGGACCTGCTGTGGTTGTCTGCCTGCCTTGCGGATATTGTAAGGCACCTATGCATACACAGAGTGGAAGCACCTAGCGCATACCCACATACAAATGGAATTATAGCCTTTGCAGAAGTCAGTTGTCGCTATGCTACAACTGACAATGCGGAGGTGCGGCACTAGCAAAGCAACAAGTTTACCAAACATCGCAAGCACTTGAAGAGGGACACTGGATACCCGAAGGAGCCTTGTGAAGCAAAAAGGGAAGAGCTCAGCATAGGAAGGCGCATGAGCTTTTCCCGCAGCTCAATCGCAGTAGCCTTGCCAGTTTCTCACTGTAAAGCTGGAGAGTTGTGGTATTAGCAGCATCAGTGCCAGCTCCTCTGTTTCTGTCCCGAATTGTGCATCACCATAATAAGGCTCTCCTTGTACGGCCGCGGGCAGTTTGAGTACGCCTCTCCAAAAAATTACAAACAACTAGTGGAAATCGCTCAAAGCGGAAGTACACTTCGACTATTACTATCAGGCATATTTCCCTTCGCAGCGGGCTGCCACAATAAACGTTACAATATTCGTTATAGGGCGAAACTACCCCCTGAAGCACATTCCAGCACGTTCCAGCCTAATAAACACTATTTACACCATCACAACGCAAAAGCTAGCTTAATCAATTGCGTTCCCTAGCAATCACTTGCATCCTTTCGCCTCCTACTATCGAGGCCACCTCTGACTTGGTCCCACAGGTACCCGACTCCGCACTTCCATAATGCACCAACCCGGTAAAACCATCCGTTGAAATTTTGCATCTCCCAGCCACGGCTTGCGGTCTATGTGTATGTTAGTCTTTCTTGAGTATCTTAAGCACGAGATGAAGGTTTTTCTTGCTTGGAGCAAGCAGTATCAAATGCTGCGCATGCGCGGCGATTTTACGGTTTACATTCTGACGCACAGTGTGGGGCCTCAAAGGCGCGCATCCAGAAGCAGGCAGGCCCCTCTTAATTTTGCATTATTAACTCAAGGCCCTGGAGACGTGTCAGTCAACCTTTCATTAGGAACCTTCCTCCTCCTGCAGCTTGCAGTTTCCTTTTCCTTGTGCCCGCTGTCTCGCCCAGTTGGCTGACCTGCTTCATTCACAAGCAGGCCGCTAGCTACAGCAACAGACACTGCCGGTCTCGTGGCTCGCAATCTTACTCGCTAACATGGCATTGTCGAGGCATGCAATTCAGGCAGTAACCAGCAGCTGGTCGTCAGAATGCAGAGATGTGTTGAGGAGAAGCGAAAATTTTAGTGCTCGGAACAACGGCAAAGCATGAGTGTTATCTTCAGAAGTGGCATATACAACTCATCAACGCCGAGCCTACACATTCGCTCAAGTATCCACTGCTTTTGGGATGGATATATTCTCTGTGCTCAGCTGGCAGCCACCGTGTGTGGACAGACTGTGGATGTGCTGTGCAGTAGATGTGAGGAGGTGCTCTTGTGTTTTCAAAAGACCGCCCTTTTTCCCAAGTAATTGCGAAAATCAGTTCCTTAAAAGGGAATGCACCCACGCTAACCGAACAAAAGGGGAATGCACCGGGGACAAGAAAGGCTTGACTCATTACATTATCAGAATGCACTTCAAGATGCAAATATAGGTGCCCACATTATTGTTGACAGGCCCCCCAATACTTCACAGGGTGTCTTCACATTACTACTCTGCACACATATTTTCTGGAGCCGAATTTTTCCGTAGATATGTTACCACTCGCTCGAATAGGGCAGGCCATCTCTGTCACAAAGCGCTGGAAATGTGCTCGCCAGTTTGGCAGCGTTTGTGAAAAATGGGCTCTAGCTGCTGCCGGCCCTCACAATTCAACGCACGATTGTGCGATCTGTCGGCGAATGAAATTGGGTCTGCACGCTCACTCATGCAGCGCATCTGAGATGACAGATCTACGAGTCATTAAAGGATGGCTTTGCCTCCAGCTAATACCCCTTAAGCAAGTCAATCAACGAAGGAAGACGCTTCTTTCGTTGATTGGCTTGCTTACACTGAATGCCTGTTTCTTGCCAGCACGATAGATGCTATTAACGCCACCCAGGAGGCTTTCCATATTTAACCGGGTTTTAGGGAAGTGGCAGAGACATGAACAGGTGTTGTTGATGCGGCTTTGACACCACTTTGTATGAGTACATCTTGTGCAATGGTCTTCTTAAAAATTAACGCGAGGAACTGTAAGAGGTTAGGAGGTACCGTTCTCCTGTTCGCCGTTTGCTGCTGTTAAGGCGGGGGGTAGGAGAACGCATCTGCTGGTACACAGCTTTGGCGGAAATCGCACTGCTGGAGTTGCGAAAGAGAGCGCAGAGACCTGGCAACGGTGCCTTGCAGACATTCACCGTTGAGTCAACTCTGACGTCAACGTCTGCTTCACTTCTTGTTGATTCATGAGAGTCACCAGTATTTCTGGAAACAGAATTTTGCTCTATTGTAGTGGACCACGGTGCCCGTTGGATGTATATGCTAGGAGTAAATGTATCTACTGGAATTAGTGGAGGGTAACTTGAGGTAGTTCACACTGTACTTGACTGGCTATGCCTCAACTTAGTGTCCAATCCTATGACGAGTTGACGACGCCTTCAGGGCACGTTACGAGTAAGGGAAACGTACACTGCACGATTCCAAAAGTTACTAGAGGCATATGGAACAAGACTGGCTCGTACGTCAGTGGTTTGCAGGTTAAGACGCCGGAGATGCTCCATCGACGGGCACTGGCCCAGACTGATAGGAGACGCAGGACGCTCGAAGCATTGTTGTGGACAGGGGCTAGAACCACAGTTTCCATCATCATGTTTATCAGATAAGTACATTAAAGATGCCTACATTGTTACGGGGAGCGAACGCCTGTTGCAACCATACGCAGAAGCAAGGGCGTCCCTGAGTCGCTTCGTGGTAGTGCTTTATTAAGGTCGTCACCGCTACTCCTGCAGCCATTTTTATAGGCAACCTTGGCTTCCGTTATGCCCAGCGCTTCTTTTCATAACTACTCGCCTTGGCTTCATCGAAGTCGCAATCTCTGTGTAAGCGATGTCTAGGACCCATGAAAGCCTCTAACGAGAACTACAGTAGCAAAACGGAACCTAAAAAGGCAAACTGAAACGCTTTGTTTAAAATATAGGCAAAACTCCTGACTAGAAGGTCCGGCTCTACAATGGTAACAGGGAACAGTCCAGCCCCGTCTACTAAGGTCCCTAAAGTAACTATACTTATAGAGCACTGCATAGCAAATGGGCGGGAACAGCCAGACACCAAATTAATCTTCCTACATAACAGCCTTCAAGGTACTATGAAGTTAACGAAACTCGTTCATCCACGCATGGGGCAACATACAATTCCACCAAAACTAAGACTTCCTTCACCAGGGCACACATGCAATCTGAACAATAATGGCTCATTTCCAGTATTCTTCTTTTATCGGCTCCTCTGAAATGTGAATATAATACATAATTGGGAACTGCCAGTCACCAAATGCTTTGAACGCACAGGTAGTACTGTGCTGTCTGAGAGCCTTCAGTTGGCAGGACCCAATTGACGCTCATGCAAAGCATCAACATGCGCGCGATCTCAGCAGCATCTGTGAGGTCTTCAGGAGATGCAGAATTTTGACGATCAGCAGAACTGGACAATTTCATGGCCACGGAAGCCCTTACAGACATTTCAAATTAAAGTTTACACTAAACCTGGAAATGCTGCAATTAGTCATGATCTATGCCTAGGAATATACTGTCTTTTTCAAGAGCCCCTTTAGGGTGACTCGAACGCCCACTGGAACTGGTGGTCCAATGGCAAGTAAACCCCACATTTCAATTAGGCCTTCGTTACGGGGGAAATGGCCTGTCGAGGGACTCCCCAGAGGCAAGCATTGCTCTAACATTTCTCGGGTGGTTTTAGTTCAGAAGCACGTGCGAGTGCTCCTGCCCTTTTGCTTCACCCATTCGAATGTGTTAGAACGACCTTTTCGCCAGGAAAAATGGATGCGCGTTTTGGCCTCCGCGAGGCCCAAACACCTCCGGGGGCCTATTCTTTAGGACGCGCCCAGCTGTTAAGAGCTTCCTTGCCTCAAGGAGAGCTGCCGGGCATGGCTGTGACAGCGGCAGTGATAGAAGTTGCTTTGGACCCCCCCATCAAGGGGATAGATCCACTGGTGTCTGAAGTGTGTGGGAGGCCCTTGAGTCGGGTACCGGTAATAAGAATATACGGGCCCTGGGGCCCCGGAGGACCGCACTGCTGCCTGAACTTGCACGGCCTCTTTCCTTATTTCTATGTTCCAGTACCTCCGGAGGCTTATGGAAATGGCGCCCCTTCCTTTCTACGCGCCTTTGCCCGTCGTCTGGTGCTGCAAGCAGACCGGCTCATGGCATCCAAGGCTCGTAGTTCTAGGGGTTCACGCTTTGTCAGAGGAGGTGGCTCTGGACAACCTTACGTGGGGGACGGACTTGGGCCGAGTGGGAGGACAAATCTGAGCGGGGCGCCTCCACCGCTTGTGCACAAAATAGAGGTAGTGAAGAGACTACCGTTCTATGGATACCACAGGGAATTTCATGCTTTTTTAAAGATATCGTTAACGATCCCGAGTATGGTGGGACCCCTGGCTGGACTGTTGCTGCAGGGAATAGTTACAGGATCCCCTCTGCAACCGTTTGAAGTGCACTTGAATTTCCAGGTGAGTTCACTTATCTGCATTCATCCTTATGCTCCTTGCATGCCTCTGACAGAAAATGAGAGACAGGAAGGGACTGGATAAGACGCAGTTACGTTACAAAGGAAGCTTCTGCTCTACGTCTGCTTGTGTTGTTGCTGCTGTGCCCCAGTCGCCGTACCAGCTGTTACATGTTCACGCAGGACCGAATGCACCCTGATGCCCGTTGTTTGGACAGTTGAAGCAAAGAGAATACACTGCCAGAGAGTAGCATTCACCCTTTGCTGTTCTTCAGCGTTTCTTCGTTTCTGTGCAGACCCAGGTTTTGGCGGATCTCCATTTAAGAGGGATGTCTCCTGTCTTCGTCTGGAAGCCCCTGTACAGGGCTCCTGTACCTCTGCATCCCTTAGCTGCTGCAGGAATCAAGGTGCATTCTCAGGCTAAGCCACAATTTGGCCCTTCAAGGGCACCTTCCCTCGGCCCACACCATATTCTGTCAGGTGTAACCAAAGAGATGCAGCAAGACGAGGCTCCAAATATCTGTCGGAACGTATGTGGAGGACCTGTATCCCGAGAGCTGGAAATGCTGGGCATAGGAGCCCAAAAGACCCTAGATGCTTTGGGGTGGGGTAAACTACTGCACCAAATGCAGCAGTTGGAGCTCACAAATACAGCGAAGCCAGCAGCAGCAACATCGGGATCCGCGCAGACAGATGATGCCATGGATGGCAAAAGCAGTGGCTGCAAAGATAACATTAGAAATTTTGATTCGATTTCAGGCCTGTGCGAGCTTCTAATGAAGGCGATCCCACCGAAAGGCCCTCAAGGCCTTCGGTTTCTTAAGGCACCCCGACGCAGCAAGTGCATGATAGAAGCGGACGCAAGGGCAGAACAGATCCTGAACCCCATTTTAGCTGCTGAAAGGGCAGAAGCAGAAGCAACGGCAGCACCGAAGCATGAGCAGCACCGGACGCACGGGGAAGTTTCCGGCATGCAGCAAAAACTGCAGCGGCAACATTCACAAGCGAGCGCATTCAATGTTAGCGACATTATTGAAGGCAGCAACAGTCCCAGAAACAGCAGCAACGCCTTCGCTGCTCGGCTGCTAGGCAGCGTCGCGGACTACTGGAGAGAGGAAGCAACACGGGCATCAGCATTGGGGTTGCCGCCCCCTTCAGCATCTGGTTGGGGACCCCAAGCAGGCGGTCGAGACCCTGAAGGGGCGATTGCTCCAGAGACGTTGAGGATGGCGCTTCGCGACATTATGCAGCGTATTAATACGTGGAGGCAGCAGCAGCATCAACAGCAGCCGCTGCAGCGACTTCCAGTGCAGATGGATTTTGGTAAAACTGATATGCCACAGCCAAAGCACCAGCAGCAGTTGCAGCGGCAGCCCGCCACACCTGTTGTTGGGTGTTGCTTGTCTCAGAACTGGGAGGCCTCTCAGGTCTCGGACGCTTCTAACCTGGACGTGGAGGATGGCCCCGGTTCTCCAGACGAATCTGTATCGATGGAATATGCAGCGGAAGGGCCTTCTGCTGGAGATAGTTGTGTGCATTCTTGGGGAACTAGGGAGCGATGTATATCAGGGCTCTCACAGAGACAGCACGAGTCTCTCCGAGGGCTCTGCAGTAGCCAGATTTCCACGAATGTCCCACAGTATCTTATTGAGGGCCTGCCTCCTTCCCAGAAAGCCTCTGTTGGTCTGCAACCCGCATTAGAGGCGATTCCTCCTACTAGTGAAAGCTTCCTGGATATTGCAGTGAGCAAGAGCGACGAAACTGAACGCACCAGCAGCAATGGCGCCAAAGGTAGCAGCAGCTTCAGTGTGTTGTTAATGCGCTTCACCCCTTTTTGTTTTCAGAACATTGGAGACGAAGCGTTCGCCGCATTGTTAGCCTCTCAGGGGTCCATTGGACCACATGCAGACGCAGAATCTCTTGGGGGCGCCTTCGATGAGCAGCCGGGCTCCAGAAGGGTCCGTGTTCATGTTGCGGAAGAGGATCGTGCTCTCTCTGGGGGCAGCAATGCGGACTGCAGTAGTCTCAGCGACAATTACGACAATGGCTCTCGAAGGCGAAAGAAGAACTCCCAGGATGCCTCCGAGTCACCACGCAGGAGACGAGAGACGTCTCCCAGAATGTGTGCAGATAACAGATGTGGGCAGTGGACAGGCAGAAGCGGCAAAAGAAACGAGTACTCTAGCTGTGAGCTGTCTAGCGAACGCAAACGCTGCTCTTCGGACTTTGAGGATTCACTGCAAGCACGCGAGGCACGGAAGGTCGCAGCTGAGGGAGTTGGCAGGCCGCATCGTTTCTGCAGCAGCAGCTGCATATCTGCAGCGGCCGCTGGTGCTACCTCTTCAGCAACTCAAAGCAGCCATTTGGCTAGGAATCTTTGGACCCGTCATGCACAATATGCCTATGCTGAACACAGTGCAGGGTCAAAAGCAACGGCAACGGCAGCACAAGCACAGGTGCAAGCTTCCCCAGTGCCATCAACGACGATCGTGACTCATGTACCAGCGGTGGCAGCTGATGGGTCTGAGCCGACAAGCAGCAGCTCATCGTACACTCCAACAGTCAAGCTGGGGCCTCGGTCGTCTTGTGAGGACCTGTCTCCGACACAGCCTATGAAAAGCGCACCAAGGTTCCATGGAAATTTCCCGCAGGCAGCCCGAACAACAGTGACTGCAGCAGCAACGGGAACGAGTGGTGCTGCAAGAGATGTTCAGAAGAAAGGCGACGGACCCAACAGCAAGAACGACGACCACAGCAGCAACAGTAGCAGTAACAGCTGCCAGTACAGACCATCAAAAATTCGTTCGCCAGTGGGGGACAGGAAGGATTATGCTGCTTCCGAATCGAATGATCCTATAATCACTCTCTCTCCAACTCCAGATGCAGGAACCGAACGGTCGGGCTTTGCGGACACAGCACTAGAAGCAGCGGATCAGGAGGAAGAAATACACCCATTCTACAGTAACCCGCGCGACGTACCGTCGGCAATTAATCCACTGAAAGCGACGCCAGGAGGCCGGCTACAGCAACAGCAGAGTGGCCTGACTGCGCCAATGTGCGCATGCGTTGAAATAGCGAAAACGACAACGACAAAGGCAACTACAGCAGATGGAGAGTCATTGGTCTCTGAAAGGGTGGAATACCAAACTGAGCTCTTGCGCTTTCTTCACCAGCAACAGCGACTGCAGAAGCCTCGTCGGCATGAGCTGCAGACGCGACGTCAGCAGCAGAGCAACAGGTGCTGTTTCGTCTACTTCAGGCCACCTCCAGATGTAGCCCAGGTGTACGCGAGCTGTCCTCTAAGGGTCAGGCGCAAATGGCAGATGACTGTACAAAAGCGACTGCAGAAGCAACAGCTGCAGCAGCAGCTGCTGCAACAGCATCAGCAGCAGAGCAGTAATGCCCAGACGAAACGCGGAGCCGCTTTACATCACGTGAAGGAAGTGTGCTGTGATGGCAAACCACTATTAGAACTGCAGCAGCAGCAGCAATCCAAGGAGACGACAGAGCATAAGCAGCTGCTTCCAGTACGCCAGCAGCTCAACGATCCCAAACCTTTAGACGCAGGGAGCTCTTGTCAAGGAAAGTCTCGAAACAGCGGCAACAACAACAGTAACAATGGCCGAAACAGAACGAAGGCGCGGATGGCAACTCGGCTGGACAATCACGGCAGGATTGTGAGCTACGTAACCCCACTGCCGCAGCAGGTGGACTCGTCTGCCGTTGCTATTACGTCTCAAAGCAGCGGCAGTAGCAGCCAGAACGAGCAAGCCTCTCAAGTAAGCGTGGCCTCAGAAGTGCTAAAGGCAAAGAAGGGCCTGAGTGAACAGCGAACGGAAGGACCAAGGGATGTCAGAAATGCCGACAGGAGCGTCCAAGGGCATCAAGCAGCAAGCTATGGGTCGCTCATAGCTTTGGAGGTCATCACAGAGTGCCCTGTTGCAACAGCTACAGAGGCAGCTGCAGCAGCAGCAACGCCTAATCCGTCGACATGTTCAGTGCTGGCTGTCTGCTTTGTTCTAAGGGACGAAAGGTTGCAACTTTCTGTTGCGAGATTACAGCAGCAGCAGCAGCAAGAACTGTCCTACTCGGACGTCAAAGGTGTTATCATATATGACCCCATAGGCTCAACAGGAAGTTCACCTTGGCAACTACCTTGCTCTGTGGGATTTCCACAGAATCCTGTGGAGAACCTCGTATTGGGGTGTATCGACAGCTGCGTCGATAGGAGGTGGTGGCGATGCGTTGTGAAGAGCGAGCGAGAGTTGCTATTGCAATTTTGCAGCGTAGTTGCTGCAGCTGACCCGTCCTTAATGCTGATGTGGGAAGAGGGAGGGAGAGGTCTGAAGTTTCTAGGGAGGCGGGCTGATGCACTCGGCATTGGCCAATTGTTTAGGACTAGATGCAGCCGACGGTGCGACGAGAACACGTCAATATGCTCAGAGGGGAGGCGATGGAATGCCTGCAGCGACAAGCAATGGCAATGAGACGTAGCAAACCATAAACCGCCACCATCCTGACTTACACACTCACGTACAGGCACAGGGACGGCTGGCGAAGCACTAAATGGCTCGCAAGACACGAACAAGCCTGCAGAAGCCTCAGACGTAGATCAAAGGAAACAGAAACAACCATTGGAACTTCCCCCATAAGATGTATACGAAACCAGAGAAGCACAGAGCCGGGAGCGACATGCTGAACGAGCCAAATACTCAAATAATGTGGTAACTTTATATTGGTGGGAGCAGTGCATACAAGCAGCAAAGACAATACCTGTGTGATTTTTGGCTCAGGGCGGATGACGTGTCTTCTGTCTGCATGTTCGACCCGTTCTCCACTGCTGCTACTAGTGGGTTCCAAGGGGCACACGATGCTTTTGAAGCCCCAAAAGCAGCTGGATCCACCAGAGGCTCGGAGGACACTGGCACTGCTAAAATGCCTGAGATACGTCGGAGGCGGCGGTGGGTGCGAGGAGCTTCTGTTGTGCCTGGACGGCTTCTGCTTGAAGGCTGGCGTCTAATGCAGAAAGAGATGAAGCTACAGCACTCCGACCTGAGCGGAGTTGCTGCAGATGTACTGGGCGTCATAGTGCCTTCTATTCCTCCGAGCGTCGTTGCCGCCACGTGGAAGCAGGCACAGCAGACAAGAAGACGCAACAAAATTCTGCAACTGCAGCAGCAACATCAGCAGCAGTGTCAGCAGCGGCAGGACGAATTGTGGGCTCTGCAGTCGATTGCCGACCTGTTGGCATACGTTATGAAGAGGTGACCCTAACAGGAGTCCCTAAGGCCCAAGAATTCCTGGCTGTGTATTCATTTCAGGGCAGGACATTTCGCTTGAAGGGACCGTACTCAGTTGTGTCTGCCTTTCCCGTTTTCAGGGTCTGTTTATGTGTTCGTCTCGTGGACAGCTGCGAAATTTTGCCGCGCACTTGCGAGCTTGCTAGACTGTATGGCTGCTGTCTTCACTCCGCGTTAACTCGAGGCAGCCAATTCAAGGTTGAAAACATTCTTTTAAGGGCGACTAAGAGAATGAATTGCGTCCTAGTATCTCCTTCCAAGCAGCAGGCACGCAAGAGTCACAATGTCGGCCCCACAGGGCCTAGTTTCAGTATGGCCCGAGCTCTAGACAGTGAAGCCAGGGCTTTGTGAAGGAAACCTGATCAAGGTATTTACTTTTCTGGCCTATTGCTTCTACAGTGCTCACGTTAATTATGATCTGGAGTTTGCGCGTGCTGTGCAGGTAACGGAACAACCTGCTACTGTGGGGGTGCCGCTGGTCTTAGAACCGCTCTCAGGGTTTTACTTCTCGCCCGTTCTAGTCTTGGATTTTCTTTCGCTCTACCCATCCATTGTAATCGCCAACAACATCTGCTATTCCACTTGCCTAGGCTCCGTCGAGGTAAGCCTTGAGAACTTAGACACCAAAAGCTACATTTTGAGTCGTGGGACCTGACGTTAAGCATTTATGCCAATACAGATCCTGCACCTTACACAACATAAGGCTTTCAGATCCAACGATAGCCTCGTGAGAGGTTGACTTCAGGTGGACCCCCTGGAGTCCGAAATGAAGACTTTGGGTGTCCTGACAGTCCATACACCACCCCAAATCTTCGCACAAGTAATTCAGGCGCATGCAGAGGCCACTGCTGCTGGCCGTAAGCCACAAGGTGTAAACTCTGAAGGTTTAACCACGAACGTGAATAAGGAAGTATTTTTCTCGTGGAGCCAACGGTTTACCTGTTTCGCGTACACACCATCTTTGCAATGCTAAGGCAGCTGACACAGTTTTTGTGCTTGCTTTTTTCTCCACCTTTATCAGTCGCTCTGCCAGGTTCTCCTTGCCTGCGTAATTGCGAATGCGCAGCCTTTTCTTGGCCTAGCTCGGGAATCCCTGAAGAAGAACCAATGCAGGTCCTGCCTGGAGGGAGCATCTTCGTATCACGTCGAGTACGCCAGGTGAGGCGCATTTGGCTTTTCCTGGTTGCGTTTTCCTCTCGGCAAGTAACCTTGGTGTTAGGATACTACGCCTAGACATAACTATTTTATTATGGTTTAGCTATAGTAGGGCTGCACTCCAGGTGGTGTTTGCAGGGTGACATACGGCAGTTGCTCCACAAGGTCATTTGAGCTTTTCATATCTTAAATTGTTCATGGTTTCTTTTTGTTTGTGAGAAATAGGGCATATTGCCGGCCCTATTAAACGATATCCTACAGACACGTCTAATGGTCAAGCAAGCGGCGAAACGTTACCAAGGTAACAAGCATGCACACTTTGCGATGTGCGTACACTTCGCCTTTTGTCAGATGGTGTGTTTTAAAGGGAAGGGCACCGATGGAGGTGCAAAGCCCTTTCATGTTTCATGAAGTTAAGATGCATTCTAGGGTAGCACGCACCAAGGAACTGCGCATATAGCGTTTTTGAGTATGCTCTGTTCCTCATGGTCCACACACCGATGGAGGTGCAAAGCCCTTTCATGTTTCATGAAGTTAAGATGCATTCTAGGGTAGCACGCACCAAGGGACTGCGCATATAGCGTTTTCGCCGTTTAGAAGGCTTTGAGATCATCGAGAGAGACGCTATGCTTCACAATGCTTGTGGGAGTAATTGTATAAACTCAGGTGAAGGCTATGCTGATCAGGCGCTCTTGAGAAAACTTGACTACCGTCAGTTTGGCCTCAAGATGATAGCCAACGTTACTTACGGGTAACAGTAGCTTATTTAGCCGATACAGCTGGCACTAACTGTGATTGTGAACAAAAATATGCACCACACGCACACGAATATGGCATGGATGTGTATGCACCGTTGCAGCGCATTTTAAAGCCTATGAATGCGTGCATTCACACACACACACACACACACACACACACACACACGAAGAGAGAGAGAGAGACGTATTCACACACACACACACACGCACATGGCTTACTCATTTCCTGAATTTAGTTTCACATATCTTTCTTCTCTATTGGAGGCTTCTTTCACAATCCACCTGTTCAGTGTTTGACATTGACTGTTCTGCTGGCTACAGCTACACTAACGCAAACGTCAGCGGCAGAATGCCTTGCGCAGACGTCGCTGACGCGATTGTTGAAACGGCACGCGCCACTTTGATTCGCGCAATGCAGCTCATAGAGCAAACCCAGAAGTAAGGAAACTTCAAAAAAACGCACGCGGAGGTCAAGAATGAACAAAGCATGCGCTTGAGCAGCCTCTGTGGCTTGATTAGCAGTATTGCCATTCCCTTGTGAGAAGATGACTAATTTTCTGTGTTTTGCGGTGAACGCATGGTAGTCCGCGTGTCTTCCTCCAACTGTGCTTTCGTACAGGTGGAAAGCCCGCGTACTGTATGGGGACACGGACTCGATATTTGTTCTTTTAAAGGGAAGATCTCTCGAGGCTGCGTTTGCTATTGGCAAGGAGATTGCCGATGCCGTCACGAGGAGCAATCCAGCACCAATTACACTGCAGCTTGAAAAGGTATTTCACTTAGGGATGCAAACCCAGCGTCAGCTGCAGCAATTTTGTTATCTGGTCTTCAGACTATACGCGGGATTATGGTTGCATCTTTGCCGTGGCGATTTCTTTTCCACTGGGATGTGTAGGAAGTTATTTGTTTAAAGTTGCAAAGCTCAAAGAGCGGCACTTACTTGCATGTGACTCTGCGCATCACCTTACTTAAATGGGCGCGCCGGTGAATGCGTACGTGGATTCGTTTTGACGTTTCATCAGACCACAAGGAGTGACTTTAGTTTAAAAGGGATCTGCAAAGACCTTTTCTTGTTGTATAGTTTACACCTCTGTGATCTTGCTCATGGAGAGCTCAGGTGTTTTTGCCATGCTGTTTGGTCACGAAGAAAAGGTATGTCGGGAATGCCTACCTGTCACCTTCTGGACCGCCTACGTTTGATGCAAAAGTAAATTTCCTGACACAGAAACACCGTTTTGCATTTCCTCTGGTCTGCACCTACTTTTCGTTAGCTGCTCTACTTCCTTCTCTTTCAGGCAGTTAGCTTGCTTGATTCGAGCTGTGATCATTAACTCCTCGTCCGCAATGTGGTGTGCAGGGCGTGGAGACCATCCGCAGAGATCAGTGTCCCCTTACATCGGCCCTTCTGGAGAACAGTTTGCGCACTTTCTTTCTAACCCGAGATCTTTCTAAGGTCAAACAATTGGTGCGTCCCGTTGCTGTATTTCAGCAGTCCAGGAATATGTAGACCTGTACGTTCTACAACGGGCAGAACAGCAATAGAAAATTATAAATTACATCATGGTAAAAAAATATAAATTATATCATTTATAATATGTATTTGCATGGGCAGAATAATTGGGTGTTGTGCCCGGATGAGTTTGACCTCATTTATGCTGGCTTACACATAGCTGCTTGCAGCTATGCTTGCATTGCAAGCAATTGCAGGAGCATAGACAAGGCGTCAGTAGCGCGCGTGAATGTTGTCTCTCTCCAGCTTTGTAGGCAATGGAGCAAGATATTACGAGGCCAAGTACCCATAAGCCACTTCATTTTCCACCGAAAGGCCAAACTCGGTAAGGCAGCGCAGGAAATAATCCGATACACTTGCCCCCTGTATGGAATAGAATCAGCCTTCTATATATTGTACTACTTGCTTGCAGTGAGGAATATACGCACATTTTTGCTTTGCTCAGGATGTTAATGGCAGTCTGCCGTCGCACTGCCGATTAGCATTACACCCTCTCTGTTCCTATCATGGGGACGTCATTGGTGCATGTAGAGCCGTGCCTTTATTTTATAGAATGCTAGTGGAATTGAAAGAGGCTCGTGAACCCACATAAGCACAAGCTGCATTTGTGTGAGTAAATACCGGCGCGCCGGCCTACGGTAGCACGTTTTTATGGTTCGCAAATGCACCTATGCACTTAGTGTATCTACTCACATAAATGCAGCCTTCTTTCATGCCGGTGGTAGCAAAAGCGTGCGTGTACATTTTCGTCACAGGAACATATCGCGCCGAGACGGGAGACGCCCCTGCAGGGACACTTCCTCCCCAAGCCAAAGTGCTGTATGAAAGGCTGCATCAGCAGGGCAGCACAGGAGGGTGTGCTGCCGAAACTTATGGCATGCGGGTTCCCTTTGTGTTTTCCCAAGTAGCAGGAGACACAGATGTGCCTCTCGGTGCCTCTGGGGCGGCGCACAAAGGAGTTTCGTCGCGGCTTGTAGATTGCGCTACAGCTCCTGAAAATGTTTGGGGTGGTCGGAGGGACCACAAAGCGGTGCAAGCGCTGCTGAGGGGACGGGTGCAACCCTCTATAAAGCCTCTCGCGCTGTTGCTGCAGCCAGAAGAGGATCTGCATGAACAGCATGAGCAGCAGCAGCAGCAGCATCCAGTGTCATATCTGCATTACCGTTACTATATCATGAAGCAAATTATACCCGCAATTGATAGGCTTTTTTCTCTTTTGCCCCCCCCAGCGTCAGTAGACCTGCTGCAATGGTTTAGAGACATGTCGAAGCCAGCACAGCCGCTCTCCGCGTTAACTATTTGCCGAGCAACCGCTCTACCACAGCAGCAACAGCAGCGACACCAGCAGCAATCCTTGTTGCAGCAACTTGGTATACGGTCACTAACAGCAGGTGGCTCAACAAGGGAGAGGTTGGTGTTGCAGCGCTTCTTTGCAGGAGCTTCTTGTTTGTTCTGTGGTAGCAGATGCAGGCAGCTTGGGCCTACTTGCTTGTCTCCATCATACAAAGACATCATTAGTCCACTAGAAAATAAGCGGAGGAAAATCGGGCGGTCCCTTGCGGAAATCGAGGAGGCATCTACCCGAAGTAACCTTATTCGGCAGTTGCTGCAAAAGGGTTTCGGCAGCAGCAGTAGTAGCGACGACGCAGAACGAGATGAGCCTGACCATCACAAGCTATCGAAAATTAGCGAGGGGAGAAGAAAGACGACGGACTTAACCAAGAGAGAAGTGGTCTTAGTGCCTCCCCCTGTCTGCAAAGATTGCAGCAGCAGCCCGGGTCTAGTTTGCATGCGGCTTTACCAGAAGCTTAACAAAGTTGAACGGAGACTTGCAGCAGCAGCAGATGTATGCAGACACTGCGCCGGTGAGCATTACAAAATTGTATTCAGTTCGATGTGTACAGAGCGAGTGCATGTTTGGATTCGGGTAATAGATTTCGGTGTTAGGTTTCAAGTAGTTCAAAGTGGGTGTATGAACATGCTGGATATGTACTTTTGGGGCCGTGGCATGGCTGGGAAAGTACAGGCTAAGTGTAGAAGATGCTTTCTATGAATTCAGGTGCGCCACAGATGTGAAGCCCGTGGTAGCTCGTTCGTAGAAATGGTCTATGTTTTTTGCAAGTATGGTCTCATTCGCATGTAACTTTTCTACGTAAAAGCAAGCGAAACGACGCATTTTGCGTTCGTCACCGTGTACAGAATTGCTCGCGGTGGATCTCTTGCAGGGTCCAGGCTTTGCGCAGAGAGCTGCTTGCATGCCTGGCATTGCGACGTCTACTACAGGAGGAATGCGGAAGCTGAAAAATTGAAGGTTCTACAGCACCAAATGAAAAACTTGGGGATATTTGCTGACAGGTGGGAGTAGATGAAAAAACAGCTGCTCGTAGATATGCATGGAAGGGGTTGGAGGCAGGACGTTGAGCTCTTCAGCTTTGGACCAGGCATTTTGGACTTTTGAGGAATTTTCGTTCTAAATTTCATTCGCACTACGTAACTCATTTTGCTGGGTCTGCTGCGTTTCAGGTAGTAGAGGTCACCCGGCTTTTCGGTGGCTCCGAGCATGTGAAGATGGGTGGGCAGGGGTGAACGCAGCGCGTTATACTGTTGATGTACAGTTAACAAGCTTTGTTAATGAATTATGCATAGAACACAAGTTCAAATTTTTCCTTATTTGTTTTCAACAGTTTCGAAGCACAGTGAATATTCTGCGCCAATCACTTCGTGCTCGCAACGTTGTGCAGCGAAGTCACACAGCGCACCGCGTCAGGTTTAGCTCAGGTACACAGAAGGCAGCATTACAATAAAAACAGGTTTTCGAAACAAGTCGCAACACTAAATTCTTCTCAATCCCCCATTTACAGGCAAATTTTGCCCGCTTGGGTATCATCAACAGAGAATGGGCTGCATTAAACGGCAGATCTCGCCAAGCAGCTACTGGGGCCACGTAGGAGGGGTGCAAGCAGAAGCGGTCTGGCCATTCGCTGTCGCTTCCTCCCTAGTTCTTGTTTATCCCGTGAATTACGCCTATCGTATTGAAACTTAGGCAAAAAAGCTTTTAAAGGCAAATAAGAGTAGCCTTTTCGCTGGACATTCGTGTATCAAAGAAGGTCCCACTCAGCGGGTCGGCCACCAGCTATGAGGGAGGCGATGCTGCTGCCCTCTAGCCCGTCAGGCTTAATATTAATTGCTTATCTGGTAGCTGCTGGGACATCTCGCTAGATCTCTACCCAGAGCATGACGTCGCTGTGCGTTATCCTATTGTGTAGTTAGGAATGAAAGCGATAAACGAAGCACATAGTAGCACGAACTACACTATGATCTGCAAAAAGCACCGACAGATATCGAACAGCTGAGTTCACTAGGACAGTAGTCATAAGCTTTGTTAGGACGTAAACTCAAGATCTGAGGTAGAGAATCTGGAGGGTTCGTAATGCTCCAATCCCTCAAGGCGCCCTCGCGGGCTCCTCCACCTAGTTACCTGGAGTCCGGAGCTCCCACCTCCGAGTTTACGTCCTTTGAAACGGCCAGGAAGGAAACGCACGTAAATGTAAATGTAGCGGACATCCTGGAAAACTCTTGCCAAGTGGCAGGTGCCCCGACAAGTTTTGGAGGCCACGCTCATCCTCGAAACCAGCTTCTAGGCTTTTTGGAGGGTTTGCTTGTCGAAGGGCTACTTGTCAGGGTAGAGCTGCATCCAGGATCACTGGAAAGGCCGTCACTGGGCCTTGAACCGAGGAGCGCCGTGTTGTACCTCCCACTAGTCAGAGGGAGCCAAAGGCGCCCCAGGCTTCATGTGCGCATACATACCAATGCGGAACCTGAGGCACACCAGCTGCAAGTCTGCCTGTCGGCCTCAACAGTTTGTTTCTCCACGCAGTGGGGGACAACGAACTGCTGGAGCGTGTCAGAGGGAGCCACTAGTGGCTGCAAGCTGGCAAAGGCGCTGCCCCAAGAATGCGCAGCGTCTTCAGTTGTTGCTAGCCCAAGCCAGGAAAAAACGCCTCTAAGTGAAACAAGCTGCACTGTTAGGCTGATCTCGTGCTGCGGGACCCTGGTCTGCTTTTCCGCTGGACCCCACGCCCCTCAAGAAAACCAAATCGCGCACGACGTTCTGCGTATCTTTGGGGCGTTTGATTTCGATACAAGTTAGTTTCTTGTGGCGCTTCGCCTATATCTCATCTCGTTTCTCTGGCTCGTAAAGGCCCATGAAGATCGTCGAAGGGGTGTCCAGGGACTATCTAACGTACCAGAGACGCTGCTGGAACTGAGCTGTCACTAGCGCTTACATGGGCATAAAAAATGCACTTTCTCCTTTCTCTAAACTGGAATAACACTAAACGCACACAGAGAGAAAAAGCCGCATCGAAACTCTTAGCTTGCCCCCAAGCACTGCGGATGCTTGGGCAGTTGTGTCTCTGCTGTTGGTAGGCCGGCTCTACGATTCTCTTTGCACTGCGGTGAAGGAGCTACGCTACAACAGTCAATTTGCACATTTCCTTGAAAATCTGCCTCTCTTTGCCCTAAGCGAGAGTCGGTGGGTTCTGAAACACGCATACATGAGGTGACCCTGAAGGAGAGCGCCACGTTGTGCTGAAATCTTAACAACTTTCATGGGTCGTGGGCACCCTTGAATAGCGTGGCAGAGGCGTCTTATTTGAGCTATTAGGTCTGAAGCGCTTTCCGCAGCTTCTCTCATGAAGTGAAATCTGCGCCCCTCATGCAAGAAGCAACAGCTGCAGAACCCACGAAGGAATCACACAGAAGTAATAGATCTGCAGATGATGAAGCACGTCAAGAGGACTTTTGCTGTCACTGGGGCTGTTGGGGATATATTGACCCAGCTCTGCCATGGCCTACAGCGCTCGCCTGCAGCTGGATAGTTCACATAGCGAACCACGTCAGTAGCGTCTAGTTTTCACACCGTCTTCAAACTCCAGTGGCCCGACGAAATTTTCATGCCTATTCACCAACACACTGGCTGAATGCTCCAAAACACAACTAGAACTATATGTTGGTGCTGTGCAGACTTCCTATTTTCTAATGAATATTGAAAACCTTTTTTATTGCTGATGTGCCTTACAGGAGGATGGAGTCAAAGAAAGGCACGCCTTGATCTCCTCCTTCCGTCGGTTCTTGCTTCTCGCTAGAGAAAAGGGTACTGGGATCGGATGGGGTGTTGAGAGCTGCTCGCATACTGAGACAACTGTTCCCTCAGAAGCTACGATTGCCGTAAGCAGCAAACCAACACTACCCCATGAGGTTGATGGCATGACGTACTTGAAACCCACAAATTCTTTTCGGAGGCCTGCACAGATTGTTGAAGGAGTTTTCTCTTCCGGAAGCAGCTCGCATGCCAGGAGCCAGCATTAGCAAGATGCTCAAACACTTTGTCATTTATATTTTAGGCCGTGTCTGCTTGTGGAGACGCCTTCGAGCGCTTCCCGAAGTCGAGGCAGGACAACTCCCAAACCCTAAAGACCCCTTCTTTGCTTCGGCTACACCCTAGCATGTAGGCATGAAGCTTCTGAAGGTAGGCACTACACTGCCTTCTGGATCTGAATAGCTTTCGAGTGCATGTGCTTAAGATGCGTCTTTTCAGCGGAGATGATCGGACAGTGTCTGGGGAGTCCCACTGCGGCCAGGGAACCTATTTTAAGTAAGCTCATCTTCTGCCCTCCCAACAGGCCCTGGTTCTTCAGTGGGCTTCTGACTCTTCTTATCTCATTGTGCGTCCTCTACAGAACCAAGTCCCTTAACCCCAATGCCGCCCCCTTTGTTCCACGGGCCTTGCCTACAGTCTCAAGGAGCTCCGCCCTGCTATCGTTAACCCGTACTGGGCGGCACCCCGATGTCGAGTCCACTGGAGAAGCGTCGGAAAAGGCAGCAGAAGCAGCAACAAGAACAACGTCAAAAGATGAATGCACAGGAGCAGCGAGAGTAACTGCATCGGACGCCTCTACCTCTCGAGAGCCTCAGCATCATGCAGTGGAGTCCCAGCGCAACCCAGACGAGAACTATCAACATACTCTTCTCCCCTTCATGAGTCTAGACGAAGAGCAAAACCGCAAAAATTCTTCAGCTTTCAGCCAAAGGGCTCCTCCGCGAGTGCAGACAGCGGGAATACTTTGGAAGTACCCGTCGACTCTACGGGAAAATGAACCCAGGTTTCAGCACATATTCATAAAAAGCAGGCCTCGATCCCATTCGGCCCCCTCAAATGCCGCTGCAGTAGCAGAGAGATTAAAAGCCTCCTTGGGAAATTGCAGATACACCCCGGTTTCTTTGCTTGGTCTAAGGAGGCAAGCTCTTTTGCTAGCATCGTCATTCGAGGACCTTCAATTCATGCTGCAGCAGCAGCCAGCGCGGTGCACAGATGAATTGTTGTCATCTGTACTATGCGCACCCCCGTCTGCCATTTCTGCTCCGAAAGGTGTGAAAGTAATCGCCCACTTGCATTCAGTCTTCTCTTCAGCGCCAGCTCCCTGCGCCCCGAGGACCTCACAGCCCGATGTTTCTAGCGTACCAGCACCCCCACCGCCGCCTCCTCTGCAAGAAGAAAGCCTTCAATATCGGCGAGGCCCTTGGGAGCATCTTCACAAGTACAAGCCTCCTGGCTGCCCTGGGACGCGTGCAGCTCAATGGGAGGGTCGCTCCAGTGGTGGGCCTCTCTTGCCCCTGCCAAGATCCTCACCAGGAGGCCCACCTCTTCTTCCCACTCCAAGGGTCCCACCCCTTACACTTTCCTCACTTCACCCGGTGGATAGGGGATGGTTGCCAAACAGCTACTGCATCTCCTCTGGGCCAGCAACAGGCGTAAAAGGAGCAGCACATCCTGGAGTTCCCTGGGTCATGGGGGGATTCTTTAAAGAACCAACGCCTATGATTCATCCTGTTATGCAGCAGGGGGAGCCTCAGGTTTCCCTACAAAGGCTGTTGCTGCATCAACATGAGTTAATGAAGCACCAGCTGCTACAACAACGTCAACAAGGGAGCTCACTGCCTGCTCCCTTGGAGAGCAAGAGTTATCCTACGGAGCAGCACGTTGAACGGGCACATAGAGAATTCAAGTTTCCAAGGAAAAACTCTGGGTTTCCTAGACAGCGTCGAAACAAACAAAGCCCGCTGGAACTGCAAAAGGCGCCCGATATTTTGCGCAGGACGGTGCACGGCAACCAAGGGATTGAGCCTCTGTCTCCGTGCCTTACTCTATCGTACGAAGCAGCAATCCACAAGCTACTGGGAATGGTCAACTCACTGGTGTTGGCTCGCTCATCTTGTAAAGAAGTGCGAGAACAGCAATAAAGCTGTATACCGTCTGCATGCCTGCTCATAAAGGCTGATATTAGAAATCACGGAGGAGAAGGCCTGCTTCGTGGACCTGCTGCTGCTGCACTCTTGGTAAGCTGAGACTTAATTGTTGATTCGTATGAGCTGGCACTACCTTGCCAGCGATATCAAGCGCACCTCGACAGAACCAGAGAGGCTATTCGTTTTACCTGTAGCTACCAGGCGGTTGAAGGCTAACACGAGTCTCTTCAAGGTTAGTCAAGCCTGTTAGCTATGTGTATAGGTGGGTGATTTTAAAACTCTAGCTTAATTCGCTTGCAATGGTTTAACCTGCGCATGGACTGCGGCTTCTCCTATGTCCGCCAGTCAATCTCCGTGAAGTGCGTTACTTGCTAAATTTTACCCTGCATATATGCCCGTCAGCACGAAAACTTAGAACATACAATTCCAGTTCAGGATGCACCCTCGGAACCCAAAGTGAGAGCAAAACAAATTTACATTTTGTGGGGTATTCCCTGAATTAATACTGGCTGAAGTAGAGCGAGTGCCAAGGCGCATGAAACGGGTCTACTGAGTCCCTTCAGATAACTTGTTCCCCTAGCGAAGAGCTCAGTGCTCATCTGCATCGTGTGCAGACTTCCTCAGAGGATGCGGGACGACGCCGTGAGAGTAGCCATCCAGCCTCTCAGGCCCCACCATGTCTGGGTGAGGGTTGGTCTCGACGAAAGAAACGGGATCCTTCAGTATCTCTTTGTGGTCATATCGTGCGTGCAACGTGTCAAATGTGTGGTAGACATTAGTCTTCACATGAGTGATGAATTGTTGGAAGCTTCGAGCCCCCAGAGGAAGAGCGACGGGCTCTCCATGATCATCGACTGCCATTTCCTCCTCATCCTGTTCTTCCTCCTCATGTTCTTCGTTAAATAGCTCGAAGTCATCAATATCTCCTTCGCTTTCAGTAGTTCCATCTTCAGGGGCATGGTAGACTTTTTGCAGTAAGAGAGCCTGAAGATGCTCGTCACCGCTGCGTTTCGGGTCGGCTGAGAGACAGAGGCATACAATACACCTTTGCACAGCATTTATAGTTTGCAAAGTCAGCATCATTATGACAGGCTTAGCCACCAAGAAACAGTACACATGCGGCATGGTACTTGTGTTAGTTTCTGTAGCCCATAGAGTATTCACACACATTTTTCATGAGTGAATTTAGCAAGAACGGTCCATTCTCACCTTCAACTTTGATTGTCCCATCTGGTCGAGAACCCCCACTGGCTGCGTCTCTAACGATCCAATGAACGCTTTTTGGTGCTCCATACTTTCTAAATGTGTGATCGTTCGTTTTTCTAATGGGAAGAATGGCTCCGTGAGCAAGGAAGGCCATGGGTTGAGGGTGCGCCAGGTCCAAGTGTTCGTTGAATATCCACGTATGATGCATGTGATCGTAGTACAAGAATATCGATGACATTTGTCCCTCCTGAGGCATATTAGTGCAAAAAGACGAAAGACACACATTAAAGCGATGCATGGAACGATGAGATGAGTCCTAAATGAAAGACAAGTTGTGGGAAACAACCCAACAGGTAAACACCTTGAAAATCGCTGATAAGAAATTCAACCACTGATCACGCTATATAGTATATGTATATATATATTATATATATATATGTGCCTGTATGCCTCTATAGCGGTTTCGTTCTGGCTACAGGTCCGTATCTGCGTGTTTCTAATGGTGCTGCGCTACGCCATCCAAGCATCTGCTCACCTTTTGCCAAATAAGTCTGCCGTGGTTCAGGTGTGGCTTCGGCCTCCCGTCCCTGATCATGTACATTTTGTAGGTGCCTGAAACACTCTGAAGCCTCTTACCGCCGTTAACTGATAGGAAACGCGGCAAGTACACCTTCTTTGCATGCACGCCGATGACGTGCGTGTCGTTGTGCTGCCCATCTACAAACGGCAAGCGGAAGAGAGGGGTCTTGAGCCCAGGAATACCATCGGATAGATGGAGGTCTTCGTGCGAAACTCCATCCTGCGCATGCTCAGCAAATTTTTCACGGGCGCAGTAATGGGACTAGCGAGGTGTGCGACTCACGATGCAACCAGTGGGCAACTTCAAAAAGAAGTCAAATTGAAGCGCAAAAGTCAATCTGACGGAACAAAATGGATTAAGCACTAGTCACAGATACCTTCTCAAATGAGCTGTTTTGCATTTGGTGGCCTACCCAGATGTCAATGTACTCCGGTTCGTCTGGATGTTGCTTCATATCATCAAGCCCATCATGGTGGACATATTCTGGGTGAATTTCCGCAAGGTAGTCATCTGCGTGCAACTCTTCTTCTTCCTCCTCCTCTGCATAATCATGGGTATCTTCCGCTTCCTGTTCACCCTCCAGTAACTCCCCGTAACTTTGTCCCCCCTCATGGCCGACAACATTCTGGTGTGCACTGTCTTCGGCCACATGGTGCTGCGGGAAGTAGTGTTTGCCAGGTGAGTGGTGAGGTGCCCCCAGTGAGGAGTGGGAATGGCCCAACACGCCAGGTCGGTGGAAAGCAAAAAGCGGGTCTGAACTCCCGGTCCCTACAAAGTTTTCCGCTGAAGAACTTGGTAGTAGGGGCTGCTGCATAGTATTTGCCGAACGGTTGAAGGTTGAAGAAGACAAGCAGAAGAATACTATGATCAACAGGGCCGCGAGCGCCATCCACATGCGGCTAGCCTGTGAAGACAAGTACACCATGTATGCACATCAGTTTTTGTGTACAAAAGTGGCAAGCGTAGCAAAAAGGGTCATGCCTAATTCGGATTCACTTTTGGTCTAGGCCAGTCCCGAGACCATGAAGCTTGGATCAAGAAGGCTTTAGCGTCAAAGCTGTAAGGGTTTGGAAGCCTTCTGCAGATCAAAACATGACTGTTGTGCTCACCTTCTTCAGATATTCTACGGGAGTCTTGCTCTTATCTTCAGTATGAGAGTATGCCTTGCCAGTTGCAGTTTCAAGGTCAACGTCGGCGCAAGCCAGGGACGTGCGAGTCCTCATCACGGGCATCTCCATTGTGTCCACAGGGTGCAAAAATACCAAAATACGCTTAGCAGAGATATCACCCTCACAGGGCCCCGTGTTTGAGAGGACTTTTGTGCAGAAGCACCGTAGAAGAGTGGGCGCGGACGACAGGCCCTGCACAACACAGGTAGTTCAACACCTTCTGGCAACTTCTAATCCCTTCCAGAACAAAAAATCACTTTAAGTTGAGCAATAAAACATGCAGAATAAGTCATATATTTGATTTGTGGCGAAGGACACGACAAGCGAGCACAAGATCGCTACGAAACTCAGCGTCTCGCCATAGCGGCGGTGAGGACTCTCCAATGAAAGCTCGCTGAGGACACCTACAGCCGTCGTTCTTGTTATCGAGGTGCTCCCTGGAGTAAATATTGAAACACATACACATTTTATGTAAATATAGTAGTCAGGTTTTTTGCAGCAGATAATTTGCACGTGCAGTTGCTTTTCCACCGCTGCTCGAGATTGCTGCTTACGCAGCAGGCCGCGCGGCTCACACTATTGTGTGAGGACAACGCGCCTGCAGTTCGGCTGTCTCTCTCCGTTCTCTCATTTTGTTTAAGCCAAAGCGGTCTTTGAAATTACTTATTATTAACTGCGTCTCCTGCTTTCAGATAGCTGTCGCACAGCGACGGGACCGTACCCTCTACACATCTTGTCGAGGCAGACCAGTGTACTGTGTGCCTACTGAGCGGAGCCAAGTAGAGTATCAAAGGCTTTGAAACAAGAGTCGCAATGCAGTGAAAATCGAAAGATACAAATTAAAGATCATTCCATTCTTAAATCCAGAGATGTTTACCCGTGACGCGTACGCAGCTAGATGCCCAACCTTCCTTGTAAACTCCATCCGCATTGCCTGACTATGCTGTTACCTGCCATGCTCTTCACATTTAATTTTTTACCTATCCTATACCTCTCTTCATATCAGTACGAGTTCAAGTAATTTGCAGTGCCCCCCCCCAGGCACTTTCCTCAAAGCGCTATGATGAGGAACACAGTCAGCCTGGTAATGCTATGCACTTCAGTGAAAAATAATCTTTGCTTCCAAGTTACACTGCTGCCAAAAAATGGCAGAGCTTTTAAGGGGCCTAGGCCAACTCGGAAGAGCCCAAAGGTCCGCATGAAAACCGCCGGTCACTTCATCATTCTGCGTAGGAAAACAGTCGACGATACTCACCTAGGAGCTCTTGCCTCTCTAGAACATTAGATTCTGTGTACTCGGGGGATTTAGTAACGCTTAGCGGGAATAGAGTACTGTCAGCACCTAGCAAAGTCGGTGTGGGACAATAAGCATTTGCTGCGCTCACCCACCATGTAAAATGAATGTATACGTCTTGCGAAATCTATTGCATAGAGACACATGCGTGGGATTTAGGAACGGAATAACTACACAGTGGTACTTGCCATGGCTGAATCCCTCGTCGAGCGAGGGACGGAGAGTTATAACACAGGTAAGAAATCATTCCTCGAATAAAAGAATTAATCAAACGTTTTCAGATTAGAACCACTGGTGAATCCCAGGGAACTTTTCAGAATCGGAAAGATCTCATGTGAGTTGACTGTCCTCAACTCTGCAGAAAAAGCATACCGATGTTCTCTGCAGCATGCCAATGTCGTATTAACGGACGGGTTCAGCAGGGTTCGTGAGACTGGCAACATTATGAAGATGCCCCTGCGTCCGGTAAATACCCCGCATCAGTTGGAGAGTAGACGTATTCTGGCATTCAGTGAGGAAAAGCAACAGGGCAATGTTACCCCGAATAATCCAACACTAACGTGGATGGCTGGGATAGTGTTGAGCAACAAGCTAGCAGATAAGTGGCAGGCACAATAAACAAACGGATTTTCTCTCAGAGTAGGCAAGAGTGGGGCTGCTTTCCTGAAGAGGCAGTGAATTTTTTTCGAACTAATCTGTTTGAAGAAGAATTCCTGTCTCTGCTTATCCCATGATCTACAGCTCCTCGCAGCAGCTGCCGGGGAATCTTTTTATGGGAGTTCAGGGCAGAACGCTGACGAACGTGGGCCGTAACAGACTTGTCATGTAAGACACTGTGCAGCAAATAGTTGCCGCCACTGTAAGGATGTAGAGGAATACGAGATCTTGCACCAGAACTAAACCGAAAGGGAATGCATATCCACATCTTTTGCATAGAAAGCAAGCAGCATGGCAGTGCTGCAGCGCGAAACCCCATAGGAGCCTTTATGTACTGGATGAAGAGCTTTCGACCACTATAAATCGAGACGACACGCAGGACGGGAGAAACTGAGGGCGCAGCAGAGTGAGGTACTACTCCAGATATTGTGCCAACCGTGCATCTTGAAGCAAGAAAGTGCTTTGGGCAGCAAGACCAAGCAGCAGGGTGGACGGACATGTGGCTTGGAAAAGATATGGTACAAGCCTCGCATACGTAGTAACAGCGCAACACCCTATAGGAGCCTTTACGTACTGGATGAAGAGCTTTCGACTACACGTGAGGCACGGAAGCCGGTGAATGATGGGTAGAGGATGCTCCCGCCGTCAGCATACAGGGGATATCTGGTGGAAAACAAAGATCCAGAGGGGCTAAAGAAGACTGAGTAGATCGTCAGAGGGGAGGAGAAGGCTGGTGCGGTGTGAGGCGCCAACACCACCTCTGGTGGCATCAAGAGTGACCACAGTTTTGCCTAAGTGGGTCTCTGTAAAATGTGTGTGTTTAGTGTATGTTCACGGTGACTAATAGTACGCTGCATATTGAATAATTAGTGGCTAAAGTGGCACTGTGTTGCATTAGATAATGCTCACTTGGTAACTCTCTAGTATGGTCTAGCGCTCAAGTACTGGTGCTAAGATGACGCTTTTTGAAAAACCAGCGACGAATCCTAGTATCATCAGTCTGTCATGCATTGAAAACGTGTAAATGGGAGCTATCTACCGATGGTATGAACAGGCAAGAGGATGACAGAGGTAACCGGCAGGAAAGGGAGCAGCCGAAGAATAGTCAACAGTTAAGTCTCAAATTGTGATACACTTGACTGTTACTATCATTAGTTCGAATTCACTCTACTTTCTCACGTGGACGCTCCACTCTCCGTTTTTGGTGGTCAAGTTTAGAGCCTCCTTTTAGCTGGATATCCTCTTTTGCAGTGCATTCATGGAGGCCATCCGCCTTTTAAGTCACTTCGGCAACCTATAATTATAGGCAATTCTGCAGAGAGCCCACCACTGCCTTGTTTTGCTCCCGTTCTCATTCTCGTTCTTGAGATAGGCATGCTTATCTCTCCCCCTGGTTTGTTTCTTACTAGTAAAGCAATACAGCCCTCTCGATGCAAGAATCTGCGAAGTCGAGGCGCCTCTCCCTTACCTTCGCAGCTGTTTTTTGTGTGAATTTGTGGGCTCTAATACTGAGGGGTGTTGAATAATGCTAAGATCCCGAAGGGACAAAATACGTGGAATGGTTCAGCTTCCAAAATTTCAGAAGGTGTGGTAGAATCTGTTGAGAGGGAACGGTTACGCTTGCTACATAAAATAGTACTATTGGAACGGCTGACACCGGCTTCCTCTGGTAACTGCTGGCTGCCCATTCAGATTAGCAACGGAGCCTAAAGCGTAAGAACAAGGAAAACCCTTTGCCGCGTCATGCAGCTCACTTCAGAATCTCACTATCTTTCTTCGAGTCAGGAGACGGCCCAGCACATGCAACAATAGAACTGCATCGCCGGTAGGTGCGAGATCGTGACGGACATTGTTGAGTAAGGCCCCCGCTTACTTCTATACAAATTTATACAAGGACATGTAAAATATATACATGGAAATATAAGTACATACGCATGTACGTGTCCTTCTCATATGACTACTTCTGGACTGAGTAATCACTCGAAAATTCGATGTCACGGTAGCGTCGTGTATATATCTAGCAATCCCATATTGAGTTCCAGGTTAAGACCGCGCGGCCGCCGCCTCGACGTGCCTCGGCAGGTTATTCCTCCTGAACTCACATTGTGCTTCGAGAAAACAACGTATCGGGAAAGTCGCCTTAGAAATTCTTTCTGTGGTGTCATCCTTAATGCCTTCGCCCCAGGCAAAGCAACTCGTCAGCTGGCAGGTGAACACTAAGCGTAAATCTAATCGTGCTTCTTGGTAAAATTTGTTGGTTGCAATATAAGCAAATAGCTGCACAAGGTGTAACATCGAATCGAAAAACGTTGCGCACAAACGGCGGATACGCGGCAGGTAAATATCGTGGCAAGTGAGAGATACTCGCAAACAGCCTCCTGTCTAAAAAGTCAGCCCCACACGGCTGGCTAGGTAACATGCAGAAAGCGCCCGCTGATTATGAGACCGTGCCCTCTTCGCTGGACGCCTGTCAGTTAAGTCGTTCCACCTGATATACCCGTTAAAAGGTGTAGTGAACAGCTGTCCGCACTGTTACTACGTAAAGTCCTAAGCGAGCCCGACTCGGCGGTCACTCGGTACTGTCGGTCGAAGGTACCTGACTTTAGTTGACAACTATGGAATACCTTATTTACCTCGTACAATTGAGTTCATATTATCATGAGGTGTGTAAACCCAAAATAATAGAACTGAAAGCTGACCTTCGCTGTGAGTCAGTGCCCGAGTCGCGTCGCGGCACCAACCTCGTGGTCAGCCTCGCACCCGGTGCGAGCTCTTTGTTCGCTCTTATGAATTTCCACTAGCCTACGGTGCCTTATGGCCTAAGATATTCGATATTATCCATGCTTTTCGCATTAGTAAGACTCGGGGGT